CCTTCACAGGAAAAGGAAAAGGAGGTGGAAAGGTCTGAATGTCCCCTTAAATTCTGATTCCTACATGCACAAGTGTGGGAGTCAGTTTTCTCATCTATAAACCGGAAAGCATTTTCTCTACTGTACTTTCAAGAGATTCACTATGTGTGACGCTCCTCCAATCAGTTTTAACTGTAATGTTGGTGTTTATGTCGTCAGTCAAGACAAACTGCAAAGTAAAACTGTGAGTCATGATTCTGCAGCAAAACACATAAAACTAGTTACAACCTGAGAATTGTATGCAGTGGCGCAACACTGGATATATTAACTTAATATTGTCCCCCGAAGTGTTTCCTTGTTCCTTCCTGGGTACTTGTTTGTGCTGGGAAAAGGAGGTCACAAAAGAATTCTACAAGAATTAAGCTCCTCAAAAGATATTTTGTGGTGGTGGTAAAAGAGCACAAAATTCACATTTTCACTCTTTTGTACAGCATGTATTTCCACGCCACCAGGTACACTCCTAGTGTTTTACCACCGTCAACACAGTGTAGCTTCTGTATCTTTTTCAGTCCCCTAGGGGAAACCCCACACCAGCAGTCATTTCCCATCTTCTGGCCACTCCCAACCCCACCCCATCCCCACCTTTGGTAATCCATTCATCTACTTTCTGTCTCTGTGGATTACATATACTCAACCTCATCCCAGAAAATGCATTCAAAATCCAAAGCACTTTGCAATATTCAGAAATCAGGACTTTAAAAGAGAAGATTTTTATAAGATCCTACTCCTAGCTTCCACGGGCAAGACCCACTTTATGAAGGTCTCCTGATATCCAATTTCTCCCGAGGACAACGGTCTTGGAAAAAAAAAACGCAGCCCAGGGGGTTGGGGGTACAGCTCAGTGGTAGAGGCTGTGCTTAGCACGCTCGAGGTCCTGGGTTCCATCCCCAGTCCTTCCATTTAAAAAAAAATGCAGCCCACCTTTCCTCTTGCTGCAGGCTGGAATCATCCTGCAAGTCTAGAAAGAGAACACCAAGCTGGGGTGACCCTTTTGGGCAAGGTCACTGGAGAGCCAGAAGAATGGAGACCCTGGGAGAGGGGGCGGTCCCCCAGAGCTTCCTGTGTCTGCAGGGCGGGAAGGCACGGGGGCAAACACAGAGATGTGAGGAAAGACAGCCTGAGGTCCTGAAATCCTGCGAAATCAAAGCAGCCTCATGTTCCTGGAAACGTGGGAGAAGGCAGGGATTCCGCTGGGAATGTGTAATCAGTTTGGGTTCTTTTCACATCATAGCAATAAGCAGACCCATAGGAGGAAGAATTCAGAGCAGGGCACACAATCTTTCTGCCTCGGGTGGCGGGGGGCAGCCCAGCTGGGTGGGAGCCACGGGGCGCCAGGTGCAGAAACCTGGGCTCTGATTCTGACGGGACCAGGAGGTGGCTGTCAGGTCCTGTCTTCAAAGTCCAGTTTTACCCTGCGGATAGTCCAAAGCCCACAGGTGCTTTTTAAGCAAGAGTGGGACGCATATGGTCAGGACTCTCCTCAAAATCTAAACTCTATTCAGAAGAATTCCAAGGTAGCCTGTTTGCTTAAAACCCATCGTGGTCTACCTTTTCTTATCCCAGACCGTTTAAGGAAGCTGATCTTAGCTCACTGTTCTTTGCAGTCAAGGCTCTACCCCGTCTTTAGCTGCGGTATCTCTGAGGAAATGATTTAGCCACCTCTCCATAAAGTGGGGACGATAAAAGTCACCACCGAAGTGGAGGATCAGTGAAGAGGAGGCGGATGGCACGGCCAGCACACTGTCACTGGCTGTGGATGTTGAGGCTCACAGCAGCGGTTCTCGGGGAGGGTGTGGCTCAGTGGTGGAGTGCAAGCTTAGCATGCACAAGGTCCTGAATTCAATCCCCAGTCCCTCCTCCAAAAAAAAAAAAAAAGAAGTAAACCTAGTTACTTGCCCCCAAAAGAACTAAAAAAAAAAGCAGTGGTTCTCGATGGGGGTGGTTTTTGCCACCCTGTCCCCTACCACCCGGGGACATTTGCCAATGCCCATGGAGACATTTTTGGTGGTCACACCCTGGGCAAGGGGGAGGTGGGGCGGAGCGGAGGGGGACACTGCCAAACATCCTGCAAAGTCAAAGAGGGACAGCCCTCTCCTCCCTGCAAACAACAAAAATCATCCTCCTAAAATGTCCATAGGTCCGCAGTTCAGAAACCCTTGTTTAAACAAATGAACCACCCACAGCATGAGTGTGGAAACACTGCTCTCAGTTCACAGAAGGTCTCAGCAGCCAAGTGTAGTCAATACGGGGTTCAGGGGAGATCCGTCGTTTTCACAGGGTCTCCGAGCAAATGCCCGGTGGATAGAAAGCCAAAGATTTTTTAAAACAAACCTCAGTCTGCCTAATTTTCAATTGCAGTCAGGACCCATTCTTGCCCATGACTTACCTCCTTCGAGTCCTCTTGTCTTCAGCCTCCTGGAGTCTGGGACTGGCTCTCAATCTGTGCCTGGAGCTCACAGGCCTCTATTTATACAGAGAAATCCCAGGTATGCAGGCAGCCCAGGGACTGGAGCGATTGGTTGAAGACCATGAAATGAACCGTTTTAGATAATCCACTCAGATTCCATTTCCCATGGAAACTCCATCAGGAGAAACCGTCATCTGTTCAAGGCGCCTACATCCTCATACACATATACATATGTCCACACACAGATGACAGGGAGACACAGAGAGGCATCGATTGATCGACTGATAGATGATGCACACGTACATGATAGGTACGTAGATGCACACGTGTGTGATAGATACACACACGCATAGTACATAGATCAGTGATAGACGGATAGGTAATGGCTAAAACAGACAGACAGATCAACACACGTACAGACAGAGAGACAGATGACAGATACATCTGTATACATAGTGACAGATACATGCATACATACTGTGTTGATAAGCAGATGATGACAGGGAAGTGTATAGACAGATGATGCGTAAATAGGAGAGATGAACTGGTGCATTCATACCTAGGCAGACAGATAGGTCACAGACGAACAGATATGTACACACATAACACATAGGTGGACAGATGATGGGAAAATACACCCATGCACGCATCCATGCACGCACCCACACACAATATACAGGCAGACAGCTGGAGGAGGGAGGGAAGCAGGTGGGATAGACAGACAGGCGCACACGGAGACAGGCGGCAGGTCAGTCGCTGGGTGGACCGAGAGATTCGCACACACTTACATACACGCACATCTGATGGACGGATGAACAGATGATGGCTCTATAATAGTATGTAGACACGCAGACAGTACAGATGGACGTGTACATACACACAGAGGCAGACAGACCCCTTCATACCTACACACGCGACAGACGACTGCACACACACGTAGTGCATGGGCAGACAGACGGCAGATGCCGGGTAGACAGATCGATAGATGGACAGACAGACAGACGGGCAGGCAGAAAGGATAGGTGCATACCCATCTAGACAGACAGACAGGTAACAGTTACACACACACACACACACACACACAGTTGATACACATACACTTACCTCATCTATAGGCAGACAGACAGATAGGGACATACATACATGAACTGACTGACAGACGGAGAGATGAGACATCCAAAGTTCTGTGCTATTTATTGAGATCTTCCATCAGGTGTTTAAAAATATGGCTACAAATTACCTTGTACAACTGAGAATGTGCTTTCCATGCGCCCTCCATTGGAGTGGCTACGTGCCTGGATAGAAGCCTGTATTTGCATGATTTTCTTTGACACCAGGGAAGTGTTGCTTCACCGTCTTCCTGCACCGGCGTCGCCGGGCAGTCTTCCTGGGGAAACGATGTGCGTGGAAGGTTTGTAAATTTCTTTCTCTTCATTTTAGGTATTTTTTGAAATTCACACTTTTGTGACTAGGCCTCGGTTTTTCTTGTTTGGCCTTAAGATCCCTGCCCGTCTGAGAGGTCCTCCGTCTGCAGCCTTACGGAATTTATCGTCACTGCTTCCTCCGTATTTCCTCTCCCCACTTTTGCCTTCCTCTCTGTGGGGGACCCCTGCTGTCTCGTTTTGCCTCTAGATCCTTCGCACTTTCCCCCACATTTCCTCCCACTTCTCCGATTTGCTTTTCTGTGGTGTCCATCCTGCCGTACGTCCCACCTAATTTGTTCTTCAGCTCAGCTGTTATGTGTTTTTCTTAACTAATATTTAACTGCATTTGTGTTTTTGAATTTTAGTCCTCATTTCGTCTTGCTAATTTCTTTCCTTATTATGTGTATTTACATTTCTCAGATGACGGTTCTAACACCCCTTTTTCTGAAGGTGTCCAGTTTTCATAGTCTCGGTTGATTTGTTTTTTTTTTTTTTGGAATTAGTTGTCTCCTTATTTGGAGACAAGTGTAAGTTAATATCCTTTAAGACAGGCATTCTCAGAGGGGAGGGTAATAGCTCAGTGGTAAAGCATCTACTTGGTGTGCATGAGGTCCTGGGTTTGACCCCCAGAGCCTCGGGGAGTGGGGAGGGGAAAAAATAGGAATTCTCAGCCAGGGTAACTTTGCCCCAAGTGGACATTCAGCAAATGTTTAGAGATGTTTTTGGTTGTTACAGCTGGAGAGAGGGTGCTCCTGCCATCTGGAGTGTAGATACCAGGGTGGCGGCTCAGCGTCCCACAGCGCACATGTAAGACAGCCCCCCCTACACCAGAGTGACCCCATCGGAAATGTCGGCAGAACCCAGGCTGGGAAACCCTGGGATGGGGGTGTTGGCTGTGGCTTTTACTCCTGGCAAAGTGTATTAAGCCAGAGAATCATCTGTCCTTGCTCCAGTGCCCTCTAGGAGAGGAGTGGAGATTAATCCAGTTAATCCACTCTCTTTCGTAGGATCCATCCTTCCAGGGAAAACCACAGAGAGGGCCCCAAATTTCAGTGTCCCTCCCCCAAGGAAACCAGTACTGAAGAGAGGCCCTCCCTAAACCTGAGACTCCCAGCCGTTGCAGAGCCACCAGGACCAGCGCTACAAACAGAAACACGTCACCCACGCCTCTGCCCCACCCTCAGAGGGGCTCATTACTTGGTCGAGGGTGGGGCTTTTCATGGTTTTAAATTGAAGCTCCCGGGGTGAGACGGCTTATAATTCAGCCTTAACAGGAAGGCAAATCCCATCAGACACTACAACCCAGACCAACCTGGAGGACATTACGCCAAGCGAAACAGGCCCACCGCCCAAGAGCAAGTACTGATTCAAGACCGGCAGTAGGAGCTGGTTCCCAGGGCCCGCGGGAGGGGTCACGGGCAGTTCTCGTTTAATGGGGACAGCTTCAGTTTTGCACGATGACAAGAGTTCTGGAGAAGGGTGGTGGCCGTGGTTGCCCGACAAAGCGAATGACTGAACGTCGATGAACTGTCCCATCACCAGGGTTAAGATGGTCAATTTCAAATTTTACCGTGATTTAAAATTACTTAATTAAGTGTTTTAAAAGTCTAGTTTGGGGGACTTGATTGAGGAGGGACTGTGGCCAGGTATGTGTCTGCTATCTTCCCCTTTGCTCTTTGTTTTGTCTTTTGTGGGGGTGGTGGTTGGGTTTTATGTGTTCATTTATTTAATGGAGATGCTGGGGATTGAACCGAGGACCTTGTGCATGCTAAGCACACACTCTACCCCTGAACTACACCCTCCCCCCGAGCTTTACCCCCTTAGTCTTGAATGTCCCTCACCTGACTCTTCCGAGCACAGGATCCTCTCCCAGCCGCTGCCTCTACTCATCAGGACTTGTCATTTTTTAAAAAAATTGAAGTCGAATTGACTTACAGTATTATATTAGTTTCAGGCGTATGACATAGTGATTCAGTCTCTTTACAGATTACACTTCATTGAAACTTACACAGCATCTGCTCCATTCTCTGTGCTGTACATTATGTCCTTGTATCTTATTTATTTTATACACAGTGTCCCTTAATCTACTACCCCTATGCTACCCCTCCCTGCTTCCCTCTCCCCACTCGTAACCACTAGCTTGCTCTCTGTATCTGTGAGTCTGCTTCTGTTTTGTTACATTCATTCATTTGTGTTATTTTTTAGATTCCACATATGGGTGAAAACATACAGTATTTGTCTTTCTCTGTCTGACATTTCACTAAGCATAGTACCCTCCACGTCCATCCAGGTGGTTGCAAATGGCAAAATTTCATTTTTTATGGCTGAGTAATATTCCATTATATATATATACCACATCTTTATCCAGTCATCTGCTGATGGGCACTTAGGTTGTTGCCATGTCTTAGCTGTTGCAAATAGTGCTATGAACACTGGAGTGTGTATATCTTTTTTTTAATTTTGGTTTTTGCGCATATCTTTGAATTAGTGTTTTTGTTCATTTTCTCCAGATATACACTCCAGAGTGGACTTGGAGGGTATTTTGGGAGTTTTATTTTTGGTTTTTTGAGTAACCTCTATACTGTTTTCCATAGTGTCTGTGCTAATTTACATTCCCACCTACCGTGCATGAACGTTCCCTTTTCTCCATGTCCTCGACAACATTTGTTACTCACCAGAGCACATGGAGGGTGATCTGCACCGGCACTAAAGTCTTCTCCCTCTTACAAAGGGCTCCCCATTTCCTCTGCAGACACATTCACCGCTTCTGCAGGGAGATGGTGATGGGAGCAATGAGGACTCAGGCGCAACTTTCTCCCTTTACTCTGATTGCCCTGCATAAAACCTCAGAAACGAAAGATAGTCCAAGGACTGGCCCTCGATGGTTATGGCCATCCAGCCTGGGAGGGAGGCCCGGAGAGCTGTGTGTTGGGTGGCTGGCCAGCCCAGAGTCTCCCTTGGAGCTCTTCTCTATTTTCCATCTAAATACTGCCAATGCTGCAAATTCTGTCCATTTGCACCTCTCCTCTGAAACCCAGATTTGCATGTCCACCTGCCAGCTGCCGACCCCACAGGGGCATAACCAATAGGCACCTCAACCTTAATATATCCAGAAAGGAGCTCCTGGTCTCCCCCAGAAAGCTGCACTGTGCACGGCTTCCTGTATCCTTCAGTGGCAGCTCCATCTTTCCATTCACTTAGATTAAAAAAGTGGGGCTCAGGGGAGGGTAGAGCTCAGTGGTAGAGTGTGTGCTTAGCGTGCACAAGGCCCTGGGTTCAAGCCCCAGCATCTCCACTGAAAAAAGAAAAACAGGAACTCATTTTTGACTGCTCTCTCAAATCGCAGAGCAAGTCCTTCAGAGAATTCTATGAGCTCTACCTTCAGATACATCCAGAATGTGACTCCCACCCTGAGAACTGGTCCCTGGGCCCCCATCTGCCTGGCATTCTCTTCTTCTGCTCATCCTCTGGCTGCATCCCCTCCTCCTTCACACCTCCCCGGCCGCACACTGGGAAGTCCAGGCCCCTTTGGAACTTCCTCTCACCCATCTCTGCTTCAGTTTTCTCCGTAACACTCACCACTGTAGGGAACACTACATGTTTTATTTATTAATTTATTTCGATGTCCAAGTTCCTTCTCTCCTGGAATGCAGGCACCAACAGGGCAAGGATGGGTGTGTGTGTCTTGTTACCCACTCGTCCCGCCGTCTGAGTTCTGCACACACTCAGTAATATCTACTGAAGGGATGTTAACGGTAGGCGCTCTGCCCACCTGTGTCTTCAGTCTGTCACCCCCTCTCAATGCCCTCTTCCACCTCCTCAGCTAAGAACGCCACAGTCCCCCCTCCAGGAGGAGCTGACTGGCACCTCTCGAGTCATAAAACCCCCACCCTGGGCTCCCTGTGTGCCCGGAGCCACTGACAACTTAACCCCCACCCCCCACCCCCCACCGCAGTGCCCTCCACACACCTGCATTTCTGCAAGACAGAAAGCAACTCCTGATGTGTGTTTATCCTGACAAAACTCACCGGCCCAGGACGTAGCCAGGCTCACGGCACCCTGGGCGGACTGGCCTCACATCAGAGGCCTTACAATGGATCTTACAACCAGTCAGGGACCTGTGCACGAGCTGATCACGCATCCCCCTCCTCGTGTGCACAGCCCCCTCCCCCCCAAAAGAGACCCTGCACACCCACCCTTGGGGATCCCGCAGGCGCCCCTCGCCAGGGTGGCCCGCTGGTGCCTGTAGCGGCGTCCCTGTTAAGCTTTCCGGAACTCTCCCTGGTCTCTGGTAGTTCTCTGCCAACCCACGTGTCACCATCACCGTGTTGTGCACCCTCTTTCTGAAAAACCACCTGTACCTTCATTAAACAAACAAACCCGATCATCTCCCCCCGACCACCCCACAAATCAGTAAGGAAAAAGGATTATTTGAAAAGAAATACTTTATTTTCTCCATCCTGCAGCAGAGGACCCCCCTCCACTTCTGGCTGGAGGAGTCTCGGGTTGGGTAGAGGAGCGGGGAAGGGCAAGCATGCTACCTTCAAGGATCTTTCCCCATTGCATCGTCCGAGTATCTCAGCATTAAACGGGATATTGATGTTATATTAGCCAATAGCTCACGTGATGAGCGAGGTGATGCCAAGAGCTCGACTACTTTGAATGCGCTGCGGGAGTTTTCCCTGATTACTCTCAGGAGCTCCTAAATGGTGCCAGAATTATTCTTTTTTTTTTATTTGGGGGGGTTGTTAGGTTTATTTATTTTTCTTGATGGAGGTACCAGGGATTGAACCCAGGACCTCATGCGTGCTAGGCACACACTTTGCCCTGAGCTATGCCCTTCCCACCCAGAATTGTTCTTGAGTTGCTTAACATTACGTCATACTTATTCCAAGTAAAACCTGAGACAGTCCAGGGACTTTTGAGAATCATTCTTCAAACGCTCCGAACTTTCTTCCCGAGGTTCTGGGGTTTAATTTCAGGATCTCAGTCTCAGGAGAGGCTGTGTCCACAGGGTTTCAGGAGGAGCTGGAGCGGACGTTTGGAGACACCTCTGGCTGCAGGAAGTCCTCCTCTTTGGGAACTTTCTTGCCGAGCACGCCCAGGTCTGCGGGGGAGGAAGAGGGGACTTTTGGGTGGTTCTGCTCAAAACCACCACCCAAAGCAAGTCCTCGAGGCTGGTGGTGAAGTTAGAGAGGGAGGTCTCGTCGGTTGTCTCAGATCCAGGAGCCTTCCTGTCTCCCCTTCCCACCCGCGTTTTAAGGTGGTATGTGGTGTGGTGGGTGTTTTCAAGAGCCGGAGTGTAGCCCAGGATGGAGTGGGAGTTAGTAAATTCAGGAGAGGTGTCATGTCCAAGGTTGGTTGATCTCCAAGAAATGCTTTTCAAAGGATTAGTACAGTTGGATAAAGACATGGTGTTAGTTTCCCAAAATAGAGTTAGGAGTGAAAGAGGCGGAGTTGGGGTGGAAATCCAGCTGGAGGAAGGCAGGCAAAGCTGGGGCTGGATCGCTGACCAAGATCGTGGCTGTGTGGGAAGGTGGCATGTGAAGCCTGCATTTGGATAACTTAGTTCATTCACGTAACAAATATTTATCAAGCGCGAATATTTACCAAGTCCCCACAATGCAGCCTCCACCGTGCCGGGCCGTGAGCAAGGCAGACGGTCGCTACGCACGTGGAGTTTAGATTTACTGGGAGAAGACAGAGTATAGGCAGGTAAATACATGAGAAGGAGGAATCGCAGAGTGATCAATGTTACTATTAAAGTAAAGCAAGATGACAGAAGCAGATGAAACAGGTTTATGCCGGAGGGCAGGGAGAACCTGTCAGGTGGAAGTGATGGCTGAACTGACTTCTGAACAACGTGAAGGATCTAGCCATGCACCGCTCTGGACACAGAACGTTCCAGATTGGAGCAAGAGCTGGTGCAAACATCCTAGAGTAATCGGACCCGGGGTTCCCAGGAAACCGGAAGCCGGAGTGGGGACAGAAGGGTGTATGTGGCTGAGTGCAGGGGAGTTCGGAGTGAGTTTAGAGGCTGGAAATAAGGATCTCATCTGGAAGAGAGGTCAAGCCGGAACTGAACCATGAGGTCAATGTCTCAGCTACGGCTGAGCCTGGGGGGGATTTTGGGGGGACGCAGGCTTGGGTAGGGGGAATCATAATTAGGAAAAATGCCAGATTGTGGGGAGACATCGGGGGCTGGTTGGCACATTAGAGCTGGGCAGTGAGGTAGGATCTGAAGTGAAGGAACAGAGTGGCAGTGAGCGGTCCAAGCCAGGAAGGGAGTTCAGCGCTGAGGACGTGTGGCCGGGCAGGAGCTGTGGGTTTGGGTGAGGGGGCCCTGGGGTGATTTCAGTTTCCTCGCTGATCCTTCAGGTTCGGCTGCCTTTTCTCCTGTCCTTGTCCCACCTCTCCCCCCACTCGCTTCCATATTTGCCCGGCTTTACCTCCAACCTCTGGTTTGGCGGAAGTCTCCCTCAGACCCCTCCTGGAGGCCAGCTGGGACTGGGAGTGAGGGAGCCCATCTAAGAAGGAAGACAAAGCTCGTTATTCCTCCAGGCCACTCAGTTCCCCACCTTGTCCTGTCCCTCGTGGCTCTGCTTCCTTTATCTCCTCGGAACCTTACAGCACTTGGTGGCTCTCCTCCAGGGGCAAGCGTTCCCCACCACCCACCCTCTCTTCCTCCCCGGGAGACGTTTGGCTATATAAGACATTTTTCGTTGTCCTAACTTGGAGGTCCTGTGCCATCTAGTGGGTGGAGGCCAGGGATTCTGCTCAACATCCCCCAGTGTGCATGACATTTCAGCCCCAAATGTCAACAGTGCAGAGGTTGCAGAGGTTGCAGAGGTTGCGAAGGAACTGCCTGAGAGGCACTGAACTGCCCCCACCTGGCAGGTGGCGACGGTGAGCAGATTCCAGTCAAGTCAAACGCTGCCTTCACAGTGTGTCTACCCAGGGCTCCCAAGCCCTGTGCACCTCCAAGGCTCTCTCCCTTGAGACGTGCAATGGGAACGGAGGGGAATCTCAGAGACGGTCCTCGGCCAGGTGAGAAGATGAGGTAACAGACCAGGGAGGAGCAAAGAGGAAGGGGATGGAGAACCTTGCACGGAGATAATACTTGGAACAACCATGCCTTAGCTAGTTCCCGCCATGTACCAGGCTCCCCCTAGGAGTCCTCCATGCTTGCTTCCACTGTGAGGTGGTTTTCATAACGCCGTTTTAGGCATTTAAAGCAAGCTGCAACCCCTGCTCAAGCTCCCTCAACTAGAAAGGGGCAGAGCAAGGGATGGAGCCCGCGTCTGCAAAGCCAGCAATGGGGCGGCGAAGGAGAGTGCTGGAGAGGAAGAGGGGTCTCACTCCCCATTCACTCACCAATGGCTTTCCACAGGTCTAGGATCCCGAGGGCCATCTTCTCCTCCCTGCCTCCGTCAGCCCTCGGGGGAGGATGGAGCACTGAGAACGGGTGGGAGGAGCAAGACCAGGGGGTCATTAAATGGAAGAGACAACACACTGAATCAGGCAGTCCCGCCACCACCGAAGCCGGGGCAGGGTGCACGCCGACAGTCCCTACTTGCCAGGGAGGAGATCCTGGCTCTGAAAGTAGAGTCTCTTGCTCCAAGTTACCCCAGGGCTAAGTGGTGGAAGTGGGGTTGGAACCCACCTACGCCTGGATCCAAAGATCACTTCCTTTCTGCCCTGCCACACTGCTGCAACACTGGGATCTCGGCATGCAACTGATTTAACTGTCGCCAAGTGGCACACTGCCACCTATACAGCACGTGCCCAAGGAAGAGCGCTTGGGGGAAGGGGGGTGGAGGAGCACGCCAGGTGTCGATCTAATTTATCTGATCCTCACGACAGCCCCGCGCAGCAGGGGCCATGGTTACACGCATCGTCACAGATGAGGACACGGAGGTGTGGCGAGATTAAGGCTGTATCCCAAGCCAGGGGAAGAGGTGGGACCTGAATCCCATGCTCTGGCTCTGGGGTCCACCCCCCATTACTCCACTAGACCAACCCCCAAGACAGTGGAAGGAAAGCCCGTGGGCTTCAGGGAATATGAGCTGAGGGTCTTTACAGGGCTGCGAACGCACTGGCCCCAGGCGCCAGACAGGGAGGGAGTGCTCAGAGTGGGCTCGCTCACCGGGACCCAGAAGGTAGCCGGCGCTGTTGAGGGTCCAGCCTCCTCGCCCCTGGACAGAGACAGAGAGACAGACTCTGAGAGAGCGGAGAGGGAACCGGCACCCACAGGCCTGGGGTGACGTGGGGCAGCCAGCACGCCGCTTAACCGCTAGCTTGTGAAGTGGGTTCACTTAACCCGAAGTCACCAATGAGGACACTGAAGGCTTCCTAAGACCAGCAACTCGGAATGAAAAGAAAGCGTTGAAAACCACTCCTGGGGGGTGGGGGGAGGGTATAGCTCAGTGGTAGAGCGTGTGCTTGGCATGCACGAGGTTCAGTCCCCAGTACCTCCATTAAATAAATAATAGTAACCTAATAATCACCCCCCCAGCAAAGAGTAAAAAATAAAATAAAATAAAAAGATACAATAGGAAATGCAGATTCGCCCAACCAGGAACTCGGGGTGGGGGGTGGCACTTGGTGCCTTGTGAGCCCTGCAGGTGACTGTCCTGCCTGAAATTTTACAATGACAGGAAGTCCTACCTCGGAAGGCCTCTCGGGGCATCTCCGGGCAAACGCTAGATGCTAGGAAGGTTTTGGTTCGGGTAAGCTGGGCCCTGACCCTCTGCGTCCCACCTGGGTTCTGTTCTAGCCCCGGGGCCAGGAACATGAAGCCAGTCCCTGTCTTTCTTCTCGTATTTTCACAACTTGTTCCCTGGCCCCCAGTTCAGCCAGGAAAATTAGAACAGTGCTCGTAGGAGGGCGGTGAGAGGGGGTCCTGCGGGAGCGCAGGGGCACAGGAGGTCTCACCCGGGGGGCAGGAGCGGAGGCTGGCGTCTCCGCCAGGCTGAGCAGGACGGCAAGGAGGACCAGACAGGCAGGTGGAGCCATCTGAGGGCCCGGGTGGGCGCTAGAGGCCACAGAACACTGCAAAGAGAGGGTCGTGAGTTTGTTATTTGCAGCTTGACTGGGCTGTAACTGACGGGCGGAGGACTCACACACACTTAAAAGCACACCGCTGGGGAGTCCCGGCGGCCTGCGCACCCACGGTGCCGCTGCCCCATCAGGCGGGAGGCGTTCCCACCCCATCAAGGCTTCTGTGGGCTTTTCCATGGGTTGTTTTCTTTTTTAAGTTTTTTTTTTGTTAACATGAGATGTATTCTCCTAACTTGTTTGTCTTCCTTCCAGTTTTAGTGAAAAGTAATTGACATACAACACCGTGGACGCTTAAGGCGTCCTGCGTGGCTTGACATGCATCTATATTGTGAAATTATACTTTAATTTCACATTATAATTTACCTCTTATACCAGATTACCTTATTGTTAACTGAAGGTTCATCTCCACGTCTTTTTTTTTTAAACTGACATACAGTCAGTTACAATGTGTCCATTTCTGGGACACAATGTCCCAGTCATGCAGATACATACAGATATTCATTTTCATATTCTTTTTCATTAAAGGTTATCACAAGATATTGAATATAGTTTCCTGCACTATACAGAAGACATCTGTTTCTTTAAATCTATTTTTATATGTAGTGGTTATTATCTGCAAATCTCAAACTCCCAAATTTATCCCTTCCCACGCCCTTTCCCCAGTAACCATAAGATTGTTTACTACATCTGCCAGTCTGTTTGTTTTGTCGATGAGTTCATTAGTATCCTCTTTTTTTCCTTTCCTTTTCTTTTTTTTTTTTAATTCCACATATGAGTGACATCATATGGCATTTTTCCTTCTCTTTCTGGCTTGCTTCACTTAGAATGATGACCTCCAGGTCCATCTATGCCGCTGCAAAAGGCATTATGTTTCTCTACGTCCTTTTGTCTTAAACATATAACAGACAATTAAAACAAACACTTCCTAGTTTCTTGGCGTTTTTTTGTGGAGCACATTTATTTAGGAAGAGAGTTGATGCAGGGAAAACACCCAAGAAAGTAAGGAAGTAATAGGACATTCGATACATAAAAATGTGCCCCCAAACCCCACAATGCATGAGTGACCCAAGTTTAAGAATCACAGAGGCATTCCTACCTCCTACCCAGCCTCCCCCCATCTACTCTCTTTGGCCCAAAACCATGCCCTGAAATGCCTGATTCTCACTCCCTCCTCCAGACGGTCCCAGACCTTCCAATCCTTTTTCCTGCCCTCCCCTGGGCCCCATTACCAGGTCCCATCCTTCCCTGCCTTCCCTGCATCTTCCCAGGACCGTTGCCCCCCTCCCTGCTCACCTCACTGCAGCTGGCAGCTCTCCCCAGCTCTCTCTCCGGTATGGGTCCCAGCTCCTGCATGACTCCAGCTTTTATGCCTCCTGAGGGGAGAGGAGGAGGAAGAAGCTGGAAAGCAGGGGAGGGGGTGCTCAGCAAACCAGGTGGGGAGAAGAGGGAGAGACAGTGCAGAGGAAGGAGCAGCCAGGGCAGGCGAGGATCCACCCACGGGAGGGGCTTTTCTTCGCTGCTCTGTGAGGTCAGAACAAGGGTACTTGGAGGCAGGGATACGTTTGCCTACCTCGGTTTCCCCCCTGACCTTCTAACCAGAGGTGTCTGCTCTGTTTATCCAAGGATCACCTGCCCCGTGTCTCTGGGAGGACTCTGTATTCTCATTGATCTCCGCGCCCCTGGGTTTCTCTCCACCTGTAGCTGCTGTCCCTGCAGCCCTGGGTTCCTCTCTGCACCACCCCCTCCCCAGTCTCTCTGCCTCTTTGCAGCTCCCCCTCTCCTGCACGAGGCACCTGGGTCCACTGTTTCCTTGTTTGTTGTGAGTCTCTCCCTCCCTGGGTGATGAGTTTAGTGAGGGGCTGAGGTTCTGTCCTGGGCATCGCTGTGCCACCAGTGCACAGGTGCTCACCCAGGTGGGCACGTCCGGCTGTGCCTGGACACTCTTTTGCTTGTCATGACTTGGGAGGGTGCTTCTGGCATCAGGTGGGTAGGGGTCAGGGATGATGCTCAGCACCTTGCAGTGCACGGGATGCCCCCTTCCCCACAAAGAACGATCCAGCCCCAGATGCCAAGAGCACCATGGATGGGAAACTCTGCAACAGCCCCTAAAACAGTGCCTGGAACTCAATAAATATTTGTTGGATGAACCAATGAAGTATGTGTGCGCGTGCATGTGCGTGTGTGTGCGTGTGTGTGTGTGAGTTATCTCTCCCTCTCCGTTTCTGTTTCTCGGTCGTCTGTTTCCTTCCCTGTTGGCCCCGGACAGCAGCAGTTTTCCCGAGGAAAGCACCCCGTAATCAAGGGGTTGCCTGTGCTTCCTGGACGTCCCAGTCCTCACAGGACAGTTTCCTGGTCTCTTTGTGGGAAGAGCCACAGCTCAGCCTTCGAGACCCCCATCCGTATTCTGTAGGTCTGTGCTTCACTGTGCCGCCCCCCCCCCGCCCCCCACCGCTGAAGGACCTTTCTGGACCTCCACCCCTTCTGTCTCAATTTAAAAAGCAGGACCCGGGGGAGAGGTCGAGTGAGAGTGAGAAACCAAGGACCACAAAGTCCCTTGTGGGCTCCTTGCTCTGGTTTTGTTCCCTGTCTCCTCGTCCTCTCTTCTCTGCATCTTTCATTTCTCATCCGGAGGAGAAGGGGGAGCTCTGAGGGGAAGAAAATGACACGCAGGTGTAAATGGCTCTGCTGGGAAAGAGGAGGGAGGAGGAGGGGTGACGCGGGGGTGGGTGGGGAGGACAGACCACGCTGGCGCCTAGAGGTGGTTACCTGGAGACGCAGGAGGCCTCCCTTCTCTGGTTAACCGGTGCGTCAACAGTGAATGCAGCAGCTCCAAACCTCGTGCAAACAAACAAACAAACAGAAAACCCGGACGATGTGGGAGAAATGTCGCTTTCCCCGAATTTCTGTGACTGAGCGGAATGTCTGTCTTGAGCCCGCATCCCTCTTTGTAATCGGGACTCGTGGAAATGGACCCCTCTCTCCCGGGGTGGACCCTGCAGTGGTCTGCTCGGCATTTATTTGGCTCCTATTGGTGATAAGTCTGCTGGGTTTTGTCGAAGTACCTGCGTTTGTTCAGTCTGTCCCACGTGCTGTGGGGGACGCTAACCTATGCCTGGTCTTGGGGGAGTGACGGGGGGCTCGGGTGGAAACTGACCCTTCCTCCCTCCTCCCCTCGCCTCCCACGTGTCCTGGGTCCCCGTCTACAACCCAGACGAGCTCATGACCCAATCATTCCAGCCAGTGAAGGTAGAAAAGATATTTGCTGGAGGTTCCTAAGGGAAAGTTAAATCCTCATCACTGTTTTTTAAACATTAAAAAAAATAATTTTGAATATATGGGAAAGTTGTCCGAATAATTCTCAAACACTCAGCCTGCACACGGTTGTTTCACCGCGTCTGACTTTTCTGGCCCCCCTCCCCAGGGACACGGAGATAGTCTGAACTGCAAACACGATGCCCCTTTGCCCCTAAATTCTTCAATGTGGTGCTTTGTTTTCCTCCGAAAAACAAGGAAGTCCTCTGACGTAAACCACAGGAAAATGGTCAAAGTCGCGAAATTAACACCGACGCGCGCTCACGTCGGAGCGGCAGCCTCATTCCGTTTGGCCAGTCGTCCCAGGAACGGTTACGGCGACACCGAAAGCAAACCAGCCGCCACCGCCGCCACTGGCCGTCTCCCCTGCTCGCCGTGTCTTCCTTGACCTTGACACTGACCTTGACTTTTTTGTTGGGGGAGGGGGGCCGCCCGTGAGTTGCTCTGCGGGTGAGTCCCAGCGTGCGCTTGCCCGACACTGTCTCGATTAGACGCTGGGGACCCGCAGCGGCCACTGCCGTGCGGTTGGAGGAATCACCTCCTCCCGGGCACATCCTGTGGTGGGAGCAGGGGCGTCAGTTCCTCCGCCCCGGCGATGCTAGCTGTGGTCACCGGGCTAAGGCGGTGCCCACCAGGTGTCCCCACTGCTAAGCTGCTTCCTGTCCCTTTGTCATGAGGGAGTGGCTCGAGAGGGCGCAGGTGCGCCTCCGGCTCTTCTGGGTTTCTGGAAGCAAGTCTCTCTGTAGACACAGACATGCATATATACATACGCACACCAACGCGCGCGTCTCGCAGTCTCTTCCCGAAACGGGCCCGGAGCCCCGGGAGTTGCTGTACCCTCTGCCCCCAGGAGGGGGAGCCAAACCCAGGCTGATCCAGCACCTGCCGGCGCTTCCCGGAGCCGCTTGGTGACGGCCTCCCGTGTGTGTTACGAAGACTTAGCGTGAGATTTACGCCCTTGAAGAATCCTGGGGTGCACGGCAGGTCTCTGGGCCGTACTCGCCCAGCATAACTGAGTGTCTTTCCCGGTCACGATGGCGTGAAGCAGGAAGTCAGCAACGGGGGGGGGTCACGAACGTGTGGAAATCAAGCAGCAGCTGCTACGTGGCCACGGGGTCAGGGCAGGAATGGGAGGGGAAGTCAGGAGACGTGGGGCTTTTTTTGGGGGGGTGATTATTTTAATGCGGCTACCAGGGACTGAGCCCAGGCCCTCGTGCATGCTGAGCGCCGCTCTGCCGCTGAGCTGTGCCCTCCCCCCAGGAAATGTCTTGACTTAGGCCGGATGACTCAGGTTTCTGGAATCTGCACCGAATGCTTCCTGAGAGATCACACCTCCCACCCCCAATGTCACATCTGAGTTTTCATGCTGGGTGGGGCGCATACAAGGCCAAGGGATCAACAGCAACTCGTCCTCAGCGCTCTCGTCCGAAGGGGCAGAGTACGCCACCCCGACATACGCCGTATCAGCGTCATGCTGAGCTGTGAGCACCCGAGAAATGGCAGACGCGGGGAGAGGCTTCCTCCCCGGCCCCCCACGCCCCCCACACCCCCCATACACATTCTGCTTCTGCCGGGAACACTCATTAACATCCAAAGGGGCTGATTATCCACTCCATTTACTTTTTTATCAAGTACTTGAGGAAACGGGGCTGGAGGATTTAGCCTGCCCCCAGCAAATAACATGTTTAAGTGTCTAAATGAGGGTACAGGTTGTAGGTTGAAAGGCAGAGGAGAAAAAGGGAGCAGGAAGCAGGAGGAACTGGGTTTTCCTTCTGTCCAAGAGTAGTACGGGACATTGACCGCCACTGCCTGACAGCGCTTTGCGAAGACCGAACGGAGATGGTTTTTCTTTTTGTTTACTCGCTCAGTTGCTTGGCTAAAATAGCCCCCAGCCTCCCTGTACATTCTTGAACCCAAGGCTGTTTTCGAGAAAGTTGTGGTTGATGACCTCAGAAGAATGGACAGACCCAGGGAGTTTTCTGTGATGCCAGACGGACTTACCAAGACCAAGAAGAACATAGCACCACGAACTGCCCCTGACCGCTATCACTCTTCTGCTCCGTCCAGTTTTCCTATAGAACCTCGAGATCCCAGCCCCAAGGTGGGCTCACAGTCTCTGAGGCGTTAGGCCGCCGTGACTCCCCACTGCCTGCAAAGCAATAAAGCGGCTCTTTTCTGTTGCCATCAAGGTCTCTGTCTCTGAGTTTGAATTCATCTTCTGGGGTACAGAGGCCAAGTTTTTGGTAACAGTCTGCACAGATGGATGGATGGATGGAAGGACAAAGCAGAGAAAAAGACACAGAGGGTCAGAGAGAGTATTTGCATCTAAGATTACATCCGTGCTGCCCCTCAGGGCTCCGGGAATGGGACTGTATTAACAGAGCAATGCTGCGTGAATGACAACAGGGCAGCGTCCGTCCTGGATGCTTAGAATATGCAAGGCCCTGTGCTAACACCTTTATTTAGATTCATCTCGTTTAACCTGAAAAATAGCCCTATAAAATGGGTACCGCTAAAATCCCATTTACAGAGGGGACGTGCAGGAATAACGTGTCCTATACCGCACATCTCCCAGGGGACAGAGGCAAGACTCAGCCACAGCTCAGCTGGCCCTTTGGCCACTAAGTGACAAGAAGCAGGCAGCGGACATCTCAGCATATAAACAATCCTACGAATTTCTGATTAATTCTTTAGTCTCAGATCCTAGAATAAAGGTAACTCAGTCAAAAGTCATAGACATTTTGAGGTTCTTCATATATATTTCCAGTCTGTCTTTCAGCACTAGGGTACCAGTTTCCAGTTCCACCAGCACTACAGGAAGGGACCACTTCTGTCTGGAAGATGGACAATTTTGAAGGAAAGATCAAAGCGCTGTAGATGAGGAAGAAAAGACCTCATTGAATTATTGAGCCAGAAAGGATCAAATTCTTAGTTTTTTTTTTTTAAAGAGGGATAGGTCAGTGAGACTGAAAACCATGATAGCAGAAAGATAAAGATGTCCAAGAGGTAACAGGATAGGAACCTGCGGGCAGGAAGAGAAGCATCAGAGCTGGCTCTCCTAGGAACACTCCGAGCGAAGTGCAGGTAAGTCAGAACAGAGCAGAGCCAAAGAGGGCAGAAATGTTGAGGACGGCATGTGAAAAGCATCGCTGATGCTGACGGCGTGTTCACACTGGTGACTCAAGCGGGACGATGCGGGGAGGACGTGCGATTCACGGGCTGCAGGCTTCCAAGGTGGGAGAGTTTCCTGGAGCTCGGCTGCTGATAGCAGCTGCGATGGGGAGTCCATGGAAGAGAGTATGACCTCACTCCCTTTCCTGCCCATAAATAGCCCAAAGATCATTGTCCTTGCAACACCCTCCACGACCCCACTCCTGTTTTCCCTACCGCATGCCCTGAAAAGGAGGGATTCGGGAGTCAGCGTTCGCTGGCCGACTGTGGGATTGTGGGAAAGTCACTGCAGGTCTGTGGACCCCCATCTCCTCACTGATGGCCAGGGGAGCCAGATCAGATGCTGCAGACATTGGTGGCCCAGGCCAGACCCTCTGCTGTGCTTTGGGTGTGTTTGCTAGTTTTCTTTATGTCTTCTTTTCGTATGTTTAGTTCCTCTGTGGTGTTGAGTTGAGTCACCAGCATGTGGAGTTCAGAAATGTCACACAGAGGTCTGGATTTCTACCTTCTCTTGATACCAGGGGGGTATCTGTAAACTCTGGGCCCAAGTCCTCAGGGGCAGCTGCCAGGAGGGCCGAGGAGCAGCTTTGGAAAGGTCTTGTTCTTTCCAGTTCACCACAGACCTCACCAGCCCCTACTGGCCACCCCAGCCTTCCTCATTCACCTCCTTGGTCCCTATTCTATCCTGCACGGAAACCCCTGCCCTAGAAATGGGTGGAAGGACAAGTATGTGACCTTTCCTTGGGCTTTGCGATGGGAAGAGGGTGCGTGCAGGGGTTTTGGCTGGCACCCCGCCCTGGAGTCTAGCCCTTTCTGGCGTCCTGGTGTCCTGGCATCTCACATCTCCCGGGCTGCTTTGTGTCCCTTTCTGCCCCTGTCGTGTCCCCTGTGCCTCAGTCTCTGCTGCTCTGCATTGCTTTGGAGGAAGAAAGGGACGTGGAAGGAGAATGGACTTTGGAACCAGATGTGCCTGGGTTTGAATCTCAGCTCTGCCACTTCCTAATTAGCCATCTGAGTGGCTGAAGATTAGCCTCACCTTTAAAAGAGGAATAATTTTTTTTAATAATAATTTTAAAATACCAGGAGAGGGTACAGCTCAGTGGTAGAGTGTGTGCCTAGCATGCATGAGGTCCTGGGTTCAATTCCAGTACCTCCATTAAAAATATATACATATATACATTTTCACAGGGTTGCTGTGAGGACAAAGTTTTGAGGATTTGCATATAAAGCAGGCAGGGAAGGGAGCCACTGGGAAAGGGGTCCTCGCCAATGATCGTAAACCGGTTACTAGTGATCATAAGCACTTACTGGGCTTCAAGCAATGAGCCAACCTCACCGGATTCTCCCAACAACCCAACAAGGTCCATATTATCCTCAATGACAATGAACCAATGACAAACACGGAGGCTCAGAGAGGTTAAGTAACCTCCCCAAGATTGCACAGCCAGTAAATAACCAGATTCAAATGCAGGCATTTGGACTCCAGAGCCTAGTTGCTTAACCATCATGCAACCATTCCTCCCAGTAACAAGGGAACCCCGTACCTGCAGGACTAGAGAACAGGATGTCAGAACAGGGGGTGGTTCGATCCAAGGCAACAAACGAGGGAGAGGCTGCGGGACATTCTGTTCCTGTCTGCTGTCCTCTTCCCTGAACTGACTGACCCTCCTCAGTCTCCTGCTTCCCTTCGCTTCCCCCCGCCCTTCACCTCTTTACCACACAACAGCCAAAATACTGCGTTTAAAGTATAAACAGGATGATGCAAACAACTCTGGCCCCAAGCCTTCTGATGGTTCCGGGCCGGCCCAAAATACAACCAAACCCTCACTTTAGCCCGCAAGCGTTCGTGACTCACCTCCCTCCACGCCCCCCGCCCAGCCACGTGGCTTCTCCTCCCCAAGGCCTCGGGACTGCCTGCGCCCTCTGCCCAGGTCTTTGCCGGGCTGGGTCAGCAGCACCCAGGCCTCGGCCCAGACCCCTCCTGACACAGTGCCTGGCTGCAGCAGGTGTTCAGTAAAGACTGCTGAATAATGAAGAGTTCTCAGGAGACTGCACTGCTGGCCCCAGTCCCACGCCCTTTCCCGCATCCGAGCCAAGCCAAGCGGGGTCTGACTCCTGAGCTTGAACACCTGCTGCCTTGCAGCTCGCTGTGGCCGGTGAGGTATGGCGGAGTGAGTGGTGCTGGCTTCAGGCTCGGGCCTTGAGAGGCCTTGCACATCCTGGCTCTGTCCGCCTTGCTCATCCTGGGGCCCTGCCTCTGCCCTGTGAACAAGCCCGGCTGGAGGGTGGGGACCGTGTCTCGGACAAGGTTCACTTCTGCCTCTTCCCACACCTCTTCCTCATGCCCAAGAGCCGGGAAATCAGTTTTAAGCAGGGGGGGTAGTGTGAACCCCTATGGCTTGACCTAGAGTGGTGGGGGGGATGGAGGCAGAGAGAAAGGTAGAGCTTCAAGATATATTTTTGGGGGGCTAATTAGGTTTATTTAGTATTTTTTTAGAGGAGGTACTGGGGATTGAACCCAGGACCTCGTGCATGCTAAGCATGCGCTCTGCCACCGAGCTACACCCTCCCCTGCTAAGGATGTATTTTGGGAGTGGAACCAGAATGGATTCAGGAACCAGTGAGCTACATCACCCACCAGCGGGTTGCTCACCTCCTCACACAGCAAGGAAAGGGCCGGGCTGGGTTCGAACCTGGTGTTTCCGCTCCCTCTAACTAGGGGAAAGGGACTGGAAGCGGTGCAGCGGCCAGAAGGGAAACTAAGGGAAAGTCAGCTCACCTCTGCGGCACCCTCACGGAGCCCCCTGCACGGACCCCTCGGAGCTGAAGCAGGAAACTGACGGATTCCCATGGCCAGTCTGGAGCCCCTGGCCACCAGCCAGCTCCTACGAGAACCTCCATGAACCACAGTCTCCCTTCTTGGCACCAGAGAAGGAAGCAGGAAGACGAGGTCCAACCTCCAAAGCCGCAATCTGGGTTTTCCGGTCTGCGGCGCTGGCTGGTAAATAAAAACGGCCGGTGAGCCACAGCTCATCCTGTCCCGATGGGACTGGGTCGGGGGGCGGTGGGTTTTGCTTATTTTCCTGGTTGGATGCAGCTGTTTGGGTTCATCACAGCCCCTCTGTCCTTGGCTCACCATCGTCACTGGGCTGTGCAAAGCCCTTCTCTTTTCAAACGGATTATACTATTCCCTTCTACCTCCTCCACGGGCAGTCACCAATGTACTGTGCGTGCATCCTGGGGTTTTTTGTTTTTGTTTTGTTTTTTGATGTTTTAACTTTTATTGAATTGTTAGGAAAACTGAAACAGAAAACAATGTTTCTTGTTTTTCAAAGAACTAGTCAGCAGTGACGTTATAACATCTACTGTTTGCTTATTTAGTTTTTTTTGTGTAGCTTTTTTTTTAAATTGAAGTATAGTCAGTTTAGTGTTGTGTCAGCTTCTGGTATACAACATGTTTCAGTCATACATGAATATACATATATTTGTATTCAGGTTCTTTTTCATTACAGGTTATTACGAGATATTGAATATAGTTCCCTGTGCTATATAGTATAAACTTGTTTACCTATTTTATATATAGTAGTTAGCATTTGCAAATCTAACACTGATTTAGTTTTAAATTGATCAAATACTTATCTAGTTTTAAGTTTTTATTGAAGTACAGTTGATTTACACAGTTGTGTTGGTTTCAGGGGTACAGCAGAGTGATTCAGTGTTTTCGGGCCCCTCCCACCCCAAGGCTCGGTCGGCACCGTGCATCCTGTGTGACAAAGGTGGAGAGAGATGGGGATACCTCGATGGACCATTGCACAGGCAGACACTGTGTGTTGGGGGTGGGGGGACCCGAGGGAAGTCAGGGATACAGCCTCGACAGCCCAGGTGGTGGCTGTGCTGGTGGCAGCAGCGAGGGGCCCTGAGCGATGGCAGGTGCTGGCGTATCAGTGCCATGTGATGAGCAGGCGCCACCAGGGCGCTGGGGCCAGACCACCTGGTTTAGATCCGAGACCACAGCCCAGCCACGGATGTTCTGGTGCCTCGGTTCCCTGATGTGTGTGACGGGGTGACAACAGTGCCTGTCTCCTTGGGTCATGACCATGAAAGGAGCTGATGGCTCTGAGTGCTTGAAAGACCCAGCCTGGCCTGACACCCCCGATCCCACCTCCTCGTGCTCCTCCCAGTCTCCTCGTGAGGTCCTGCGGCAGATGACATGCCTCTCCCAGCTGGCTTCCTCTGCTGGACGTGGCGCCAGAGACCTCCGGAAGGAAAGGCGAGCCCGTGGTCCCGGAAGCTTCCGCAGGCCCAGCAATGCAAGCGTTGCATTCACGCCCTCATTTAACTTCCAGGACGGGCCCCTTCCTCAGGAGTGCTCTTAGCCCTGTTTCTCAAGGTGAGTGCTAAGGCCCAAGGGTTTGCCCAAGGCACCCTGGCTGTCACCATCACTCCTGGAGATTCCCTGGCACCCAACCTCCTCCAGCTGTCACCAGTCTTGGAAGGCGGAGCCAGCCTCTGGCTATACATGCCAGACAATCCAGCTAGTCGCTTTCCCAGACGCCCTTGCAGCCAGGGCATGGCCCGTGGCCTGGGTCTGTCTACTGGACAGACGCACCAGCGCTGGATTCTGAGCCAGGAGCTGGCAAAGCCTATGGCAGTGACTGTGGAGGATTTGGCCGGCAGAAGCCCAGGCTCGGGCGCTGGACACACAGGAGCCCAGGGCAATGCCAGACCCGAGAGGGCGGGTCAGACATCAGCAGGGGGTGCAGACAGGCCAGAGCTCTCCTTCCAGGACACCCAAACGAGCAACTGTCTTTCCCTGGAGAGAAGGAACCAGGGTCTGGATCCTGTGCTGAACTTAGAACGGAAGTGAGGGGGCACTCAGAGAAGGGGGCTGGCCAAGGGCTGCACCCAACAGTGAGCCACCCTCGAGCCCCCACCACCTCCGCCTGGGGGTCCAGATTGATAGCCACCAGGCTCCTGGGACCATCCCCAGCAGGAGACTGGATTCCTCTTTGGAAAATGGGCCACCGGAGAGACCTACTGATAATATCTGAGGGGTGACCTACCCCACATATTACACCTAGCAAGGGATGGGGGTACCACTGTTGTTACTGACGGACGTGGAATAGGCTCAGAGAGGGGTTGGGACCTAAGATCACGTAGCCTGAAGCTGTAAGGTCAGGATTACAACCCGAGGCAGCTGGGCGCCAGACGGAGTCCTGCCTCTGTGAAGGGGGCAGAGGAACCGGCTCCTGGGGCCACTGAGCGAGCTGGATAAACCACATGTCTGAGCAATTCCCCAGCGGCACAGACGCCCGCGGAAACCCATCTCCCATCGCCTCTCACGGGGCTCAGCTCATCTCCAGGTTCAAGGACAAGGAACCAGGCCCCTGGGCCGAGCCCAGACGCCCCGCCCCCCACGTGCCCCGGAGGAGGATCCGAGGCGGGCCCGCAGTGCCCCTCTCCTCCACCGTGAGCTCAGGGAGGAGACCCAAGGACAGAACGGGACACTCGGGGCCTGCACAACACATCAGTGACTTTATTAGTCTCCAGATGCTGGTGAACTGTCGTCCCCAAAGCGCTTCCCACGAGCAGGTATCTGTCCATCTCAGGCCTTCCTGGCTCGCGAGGAGGAGCCAGGCCAGGGAGCCCAAAGCCAGAGCCTAGGTCTGTCCTGTCAGAACCACCACCCTTCCCAGCCCTCCAGCCTGCCCTGAGGGGTCGCCTAGGGACAAGACCCAGGCCTCCTCCCGATGGAGGACGGGGCGGGGGGGGGGGTGCCCGCTGCTCTGGCCCTCGCTCTTCTTCCGGGCTCCGGACCCCCAGGGGAGAGGGAGGGAGTGACGACGGAGGGGGAGAGGAGGACGTGAGGGCGCACCTCCGGCGCGGTGGGAGAGGCTGTGAGGACGGAGGTGAGGGCTGCACCGGAAGAGTGAGGACTGGGGCACGTAGAGAGAGTGGGAAGGAACAGAGAACGCTAGGGCATCGGAGGCCTTGACCAGGGCGGCGCCGCCGGAGGAGGGGCTGGTGCGGGAGGAGGGCGGCAGCGCGCGCGGGGCTACCCCAGCGGCCAGGGCGGGCAAGGGCCCCCGCCCTCGG